TACGACTACGACTACTACTACTACTGCTGCTACTACTACTACTACTACTGCCACTACTGTTACTACTGCTACTAGCACTTTTACTGATTGCATCTTCTTTGAATGGCCAACTACACAGACTTCCATGTTGCGGCGGCCTCCTCATAATTTTATGATGCTGTACGAGCAGTACGGGATAGGCGCTATCGCGTGATCTGCAGGAAGTGGTGGATAGGCGACATAAGCAGCATCCGGGACACCTTCAAACTGGCCGTGACACCAGCGCTTCTCAGCAACATATTAATTCGGAGTGCTTTGTCGCCTCAAGACATGTCTTGGTGTTGTCAAACTGTTCTGACCTGTAGTATCATACAGTGGTTACCGCAATCTGAAATTGAAGACATGCCTGGGAAGCGGCCTTTACATGCCGGGTCAAGACGTTTGGCTTGACACACGCAAGTGAAGAAACACTTCAGAAACTTTGGGCAGGACAGTGCTCCCGCCGCTAGAGCAGGACACAAAAGTCACAAAAGGCATGACCATAGATTCACTAAATCTTTGAAGGGCAGCACTTGGTGATGATGGTGCAAATTTTGCGCAGCCAATGGAGACTGAACTCGTAGGGTGGTGAAGGAGTACGTGGTTCTCAAAGCGCGGTTTCCCCGCCGTACCCCAAAGAAAGGCCGATTTCTTGGGCAGCCCCTTGATCTGTCAGGACCCAGGTTGTTCGGCTACTTAAAACGCGGTACTGATACGGACATGACCTGCTCGACACATGTGATTTTCTTTGCCCTGGAGACATGTAAGGATTACGTGCATTCTAGCACGTGGTACGTAAATCATGAAACACCAAGGTTATTCGTAGCTGTAGTGACTATACAATATTGCCTGGTCCTAACTTGGGATTCCCCCTACCTAGTCCAAGGGCAATGATCAGAGATTACAATGATCAGAGATTACCCTGCCACTTCTGACAGGGAGCTACTTCGCACCTTTTGCAACCCCTAAACTTTGCAGGGCTCAACGTTCGAACTGCATTCCTATAGCATGAGGTGCCCCCCTAAGGACCCTACTTGTTGGACATGTATAATTTCCAGAGTGCCTTATATACACTTAGTAATTGTCAGGCTGATGGGGCTCCGTTCTCCCAAGGTCGCCCGCGGATAACTGTACAGCTCAAGCGTCCATCTTGCCCTCAACGACCTGGGCTTCATAGTCTGTAAGGTTTAGGGTTATGTGTTGATAGTGGAAAAGAAAATGGAAACTACTATATTATAAGGTTATATAGGGATTATAAAAGGGTTTAGGGTTTAAGGCTTGGGGAGGTTCAGGGCGAGGCTTTAATGTTGTGTGCGGTTCTCGCCGCGATCATGGGTGGCGCTGGTCTTGGTGCTTCTACGCAGCGCAATGCATTCAGCACTTTGGACCCAATTTTTGGCATTTCAATTATTACCTACGAATTGAATACGGTCTAGGGCCAATATGACTAGGCCTTCTGGGAGCTAAATGTGCTTGACCCCATGACGACTCTCAACCCTAAACTTTAAAACCCTATAATTAGTCCCCCCAACTGGGTAGATAGGATATGGCTTTGGGCATACTATAACAAAGATCCCCACATACCCCATATTCTATCTACTGAAGGGGGACTATAATCCTAAACCCTAACCCCTAACCCCTAAACAGTAGTTTTCATTTTCTTTTCCATTATCCTAATATAACCCTACTATATTCTATCTACTACTTAAGGGGGACTATAAACCCAGGCCGGCCTTGTCAGTGGCGCCAGTCAAAGCCTTCGAGATGAAATTGTCCTTCCGAGTTGTAATCTGCCCCGAGCAACAAAGTGCACCCCCTACCCAGACCCTAAAGGATCCCCAAAAATGGAGCCCCCTAATAATCCCCTAGTTTCCCCAATGTAGCAATTGGGTTCATATTGGGGGGGGATCCATGTTTTGGATCCTTTAGGGGGTCTGGGTAGTACTGAATTTTCCGGATAGATGTTGCTGTGCTATGTTGGGAGCACTTATTATTGGGCGCAGGGGTAGTTATTGGAGGTGATTTACCATGGACCCAGAAAGATCTACGTAGCATAATCGGAAGCGCAAATTGACATGGGTGATCTACAGAACGGCACGACGTTTTCTTCTGTATCGCAGTGCTCGGACCCGGGCACGACATCTTGGTGTTGACTGTTACATGCACATGAAATGTGGAGCTTTCCTGTGCCAACTATGGCAGGGAGGGGCCAACAGACTGTAACACGCGGGCATCACAGCTCTCTTTGCTTGCACATTAAGATAAAATGCGAATGACAGCCCAGCTCCTGTGAGAGCATAAGAAGCAAAGTGATGGGAGAACACTTCAGGCAGTCCTGTTTTGATTGCTGCAGTTTCTCGCCAAAATCCCGAAAACGCAATTGGGGATGGGGCTGGCATCCCATCCTCCTTGCACCATTGTCAGACTCCCATTGCGAACTGCTTCTTGGCCACATAAGCAAAAACCCTTCCGCCCCTAAATGAATATGTTAGGAGGACCCCCCACCTTGTAACAGTAGTATAATAAGAATACAAGAGGGTCCTAATATAATCCCTATTATCCCTTATAGTCACTATTACTGGGTGGGGGGTCCACCTAATGGATAGGTCAAAAAGCTCCGGCCTTGTTGATCAACGACAGGACGACGTAGAAGAGGACCGATAGCGTGCCAATGGCAGCAAGGGTTGCGGCGACTCCGATGACTGCCACTTCAAACCTGGAGTTGAAAAGAGCTGTCTCCTAGCATCCCCCTTAATCAACCCTACAGTACTCCCCCATATGAAGCCCTAACCCCTACACCCTAAATGAGCTATAGTCTAAACTCCTAGAATCTCCCTTAATTACCCCTGCAATAGTCCTCTACATAACCCCCTATATAACCCCCTTAACTCCTAGTATGCCCTTCAATAACCCCTATAACAGTCCCCTATATAACCCCCTTAACTCCTGGTATCCCCCTTAATAAACCCTATAATGCTCCCCTACACCCTTTAAAAACTTTTAACCTGGAGCTAAAATGTTGAAGCGCGGCTTTGCGGCCAGTGGCCTGTATTTGTCCCTATTCACTCCTTTAATGTTGACGACGTTACTATAAAAGAGTCAGTTTTCTTGGGTCAGATGAAGCCCCAGGATTTGAGATTTTATTTTTTGTTGGTTATGCTAATTGCGACTCTGGGTTTCCTGATGGAAATTGTCCGCAGCCTGGAGCTTGAGGGTATGATATCTATGATGGCAATAATCAAGTTTAAGGACCCCCAAAATCCGCTGAAAACCAAAAAACATACCTCGCCTTTCAAATCCAAGGCGAAATCGCCCCTGCTCAGGCCCTGCTCCTCCTCGGTCTCCTACTCCTACTCCGACGCTCATTCTTGCTCATACCCAAACCCCGAAAGTATTTTAAAAAATAGCCCTAAACCCACAATAACAGCCATAAAAGCCATTATTATACACGTTTTTGGGGTCCAGGTACTGGTACTCCTTCTCTTGCTGCTACTCCTTGCAATGACTACCGAGAGAGCGAGCTGAGGCTCCAGGCCTCCGAGGTTGAGGGTTTAGGGTTTTAGGGTTTTAGGGTTTTAGGGTTTAGGGTTTTAGGGCTTTAGGGTTTAGGGTTTAGGGTTTTACGACCCATCCTTTCCCGGACTTTTGTTGGGGATATTCGAACAACACTCACGTTAGGTAGTACTCGTCTTGTCGCAGGTATCTGTTCTAAGATCACGCCTGCGGGAAACATGCCCAACTTGGAGCAAGAACGTCGAATCCACAATAGACGCTGAAGACATTGTCATCTAGCACCCGGGAAGTAACCTGGAGCTGGAAACGGGATTAGTGGAACACAGGGTGAGGCCCAAAGAGTCAGAGGCACTCATTTTTGATGAGAAGGGAAACGCCAATCCAGACATTGATCATGCCCATCGCCGTGGCGATATATCCGGCACCTGAAGGGTTGAACAGCGACTTGAGATGGGCATCTACAATAGGGTTAGGGTTTAGGGTTTCCATGAAAAGGAAACCCAATCTAGACCCTGAAACCTATAAACACTCATGATGGGACCCTGCCTACCCCCAAAGTTACAACCTGCTCGAGGAGGACCAAGGGATCGCAAGTGAAAAGCTACGTGAGCTATAGTCTAAGCTCCTGATATACCCCGAAAATATGCCGTACACCCCTATATGATTTCCCTTTAAGGAGTTAAGACCATAGTTCATGTGAGGTAGACTGTAAACGGCCAAGGTAAGTCTGACAAAATGCTACCGCTGTCTATAACAAAAGCTATAAGAAACCCCAGGGTTTAGGTGTGAGCTATAAGAAGCCCTAGGATGTCACCCGGTTATGATTGCACTTGTCCCTATGCCTAGTATACCCTGCCCTAGGCTTCTCCCCGCCTCCCTTTTGGCAATTTCGAGGCTTTTTGCAAGGATGCTGTAGACACCTCCTCCTAATGATAACCTCCCGCTCCCTAACCACAAACATGCTCCGCTGTATAGTCAACGGCGGTACTGGGGAGGATAATTAAGGGGGGTGGGGGGTTAGCACTCACCACTCGCATCGCCCTGTAGGCACGGCATTTTTCCGACACAGAGGCTCGGAATCGTTGCCCGCGGCTAGAAATCTCTGTGACAGCGCGTGGTGCTTCCAAACGATGCGTACCACCAAGAAACATGCCGTTTACAAAAAAACACCAAACTCCTTGCATGTAAGTCTGGACACACCATCAGCTGCGCGCAAGAAGCAGACCAGCAGTGCAAGCTTGCACATGCTTGCCTCCCGGAAAAACGATCACGATGCTGAGCATCGGTCCTGCACAGTCGGGGGGTAGCAGGCAGCAAGCAGAGATGATCCACAAGATGTAACAACTGGATTATTGGCTATGTGATGCTGGCTAATGCGATTTCGCATTGCCAGACACGAAAGAAGTCATGTATCGATCGCCAACCTGCCAAAGAAGATTCTGCACGTGGCTGCTTTACTGCCTGTGGAATCAGAGTTTGATGAGCCCATCCTTCGTGAGGGTCAGGCCTTCGGCCGGCCCTGGGAATGGGATCGTGTCAGCATCAGGGGCTTGCGTCAACTGTGCAGCACCAATCACCGGAGCTGGAACATGCTTCTGTTTCTTCCCGGGTGGTGGGTGATCTAATCTGATGCAGTCCTCTTCGCTTTCTGCAATTGTGGGCGGGTGTGGCGCTCGATCATGGATCACTACAATGCCGTTCTCGATATCTTCGGAGCTGATAGCCCTCAAGCGACCATTTCCCTCCTTGTCTGAAATGGTGGAAGTAGTCGGGCTTGGAGGAACACCAATGTGGACCCTGCCAACAGTATAAGAGGTAGTGGAGCCCTGAGGTGATGGAGGCACTGTCTGGATTGCCACCGCTTTCTCCGCCTTGTCCTTCCTGTCAGAGCCAGCAATGCTGGCATTGCCGCTCATGAGGGAGCTCTTGCTACTAGCCTCACCCAGGAAAACAGTGATCATGCCGAAGATGACAAGCAACACGCACAACGAGTACATACAGATTCGCCAGGCTTCCAGACCGCGAACATCAAGCAAGACTATTGCACCAGACAGGCTTGCGGAGAGGATCATGGAGCCTTCCACTATCGGAATCATAAAGAAGGCTTCATAGTGCTGGAGTCCCTTCGTCAGGAAATAGGCGTTCACCACAGCAAAGAAGGCCGCCCCGAGCAGAGCCGCATAGGGGATCCAGGTCTTCCAGGGCTCCGGGTCTCCTAGAGCGATGCTGGTCTGAACGAGCTCGATTGCAATTTTTGTGCACCACATGTTGCCAGCGAGTGATCCTGCAGTCCAGCCATAAGACAAGCCCTTGATGATGCTTCCTGTCGGCCACCGCATGAGGTAGAATTGATTGAACAAGTACCAGGAAATGAAGACAAGAAAGTAGATCAAGACCCGAAGATTGATCATCGTGTCCTCAATGTACTGCAGCGTATAGATTGGGTCCTTCTGGTTCCCGAAAGCCGCCGAGCCGACGCTTCCCATCATGACCAATGCACTGCCCACCGCGCGGTGTTTTGTCAACTTCTCCTGGGTTGCTGGAAAGGAACTTGAATTAAGGCTTAGGGTTTAGGGCTTATAGGGCTTATAAGGTTTAGGGTTTAGGGTTCAGGGTTTAGGGTTTACCAGGTTCAGGGTCTGGGGTTTATCATAAGGTTTCCTTGTAATGGTAGCTTAATTTGACATCCTTTACAGCAACCCAGCTTCTTTGAGAATAAAGGGGGCCAACAAGGCGTTCCACACCACGTCAAGGCCCCCAAAGGGTGCCACCAAAGATTGAGGCGCGAAGCTGTAGGCAGACACATCGATCAGTGGACCAATGATGGTGTTCGTCAAAAGGCCCACTCGGAACAACAACTTTGAGAAAAAAGGATGCTTCTTCTCGTGGATCGTGGACAACCTTACGAGGGTCTTCCCTGCAGTCCCACACATGCTGGAGATGACCTGAAGGCCTATTCCCACATACCAGAGACCGGTCAGGGCCTGTTCCTCCTCCCCATCTGTCGGCATCTCGCTCGTGGACATGGCTCTAAAAGCTACGGCTCAGATCTTACGTCAAGGTAGGCCTGGGTTCTATGAATCGATGTGGATGGGGAGGTTGTCTACGGGAGTTCAAAAAAAATCTCTGCCAACGCGGGAGGCGGCCACGGGGCCCTTGAAGCTGAGCTTGCCGTGAGCCGTAGCCACGGGGTTGCGGGTGGCCTAAGCCCCTAAGCCCTAATTACAAACCCTAAACCCATATGGGGGTTTCCCAAAATTAGGAGTACCTTTTTGGGGTCCCTATAATAAGGACTATAGTATTTTGGGGTCTCTATTGGGGTCCCCTTATTTTGGGAAACTACCATATTGCTAGGCCAAGGCAACTATCAGGATACAAATCCCTGCGTTCGAGGCCTTAAATCTGAAACTTCAGCTGCAATTGAAACGCTCGAATTCCTTCACCCACATGAGGTTTTTCCAAAATGAGGGTAGCTTTCGAGGGTGCCTATAATAAGGAGTAGAATATATTTTGGGAGTGTACGTTGGGGTCTCCCGCTTTGTGGAAACTACCCCACATCCCTGTCTCCCCTGCTTAACATACGCAAACCCTACGTACCCTGGGGAATATCAAGCCCAGCCTTTGTGGACCACCTCGAAGATGAGCCTGCCGATGGTCCTGAGTTGCTGCTATAAGCAGGGTTTAGGGTTTAGGGCTACCATAAGGTTCATGGAGGGAATTACATAAAGGTATATAGGGATATATAGGGTTTAGGGTGTGGGGTTAAGGAACTTATTTTAAGGTAATAGAAGAAGGAAACCCTGCTCTTTGCTATATACCCATATCATAGCAACTTCAACCCTAAACTCTATATACCCACATGAAATCATATGAACTCACTATATATGAATTACTATAGTACTGTTTACTACATACCCATGGTATGGTAACTTATTCTTTACAGCAACCCAGAGTCTTGCTCTCTCCGGGATGGGGGTGGGCGCACATCTTGCGCAGCAGAGCGTTGAAGGGCTGCAAGGTGCCTTAGACAAGAAAATCATTAGATTAGGGTTCAGTCCTAGGGTTTAGGGTTTAGGATTTAGGGTTTAGGATTTAGGGTTTAGGATTTAGGGTTTAGGGTTTTGGCTTTAGGGTTTTCATGAGGTTATAGTCCCCCTTAAATAGATAGAATATGGGGGTATATGGGAATCTTACTGCAATATACCCAAAGCCATAGTCTATCTACTGAAGGGGTACTATAGGGTTTGGGGTCTCCCAGTGGTGTTTCCAGGTGCTTGAAGGGGTGGTACTTCAAGGCGCCGCAGTTGCCCAATACCTTTGGGGTTTATAGGGTTTATAGGGTTTAGGGTCTAGGACCCCCTTGGACTCACCCCCTTAAATTTCCCTAAAGAACCCGCAGCAGTAGTCGTAGCAGTGTATGCGCATCAGTTATATGGATGCAGTAGTAGAGGCGAAACCATCCTGAGGCCATCGATGCCAGTAGCAGTTTTTTCTTTCAAGAAGGCTATGAGAACTACCGAAATTATGATCAGCCAGCATTTCATCTCACAAATCCGGTCTGGAATCTTGTAGGCACGAGATCACACGATTTTGCGTAAGACTGCGCGCAAGCGGTATTTGTACAGCTCAAAGACGCACGAAATCGGACGATATTGCACGACGCAGACCAGTTTAGTCTAAACCACGCCAAGGGATTTCTGCTATGAGTGCGATAGATATTGAAACGCAGATGATATAACAAGGCATAACCTTGCTTTGATCCGGGGAGCCAAGTACCACTGCAATGAAACCGATCACGTGATGGCCGCTCGTGAAGTTCAATGCCTTCCCGCATGGGCGCTTAAGGAGTGCAGTTGACATGTCTACCACATGATAAGAAATCACGGGTTCCTGCCATCATGTGGATGTGTAGCACTCGAATTCAGTACAGGCTCAGTGCCTCACATGAGACACTGCAAGTTAAGCCACATGTTCGGAACGATAACCTGACGCTCCAAACAACCAGGAAATGGTGCCGAAGATTTCCCACCCCTGCTATCATCAGTTTGGGAACCCGGGCACAACCTTTGGAAGGTACAAAGATATCTTACTGTTAGTCGCATTAAATTGAGCAAGGGATGAAGGAGGGATGTCCGGGGGCTGATTCATACACCACAAGCGCTGTATTTCTTAGCCCAACCCCGCCTGCACATACCACACAGCCATCGCGAAGCCAAGAAGCTGGAACAACCACCCGACGACCTCACATCATGGTGGTGATGTCACAGCTGGGTTGGGCAGTCTCATACTGCTCCAGCTTGAAAATCCTCCCTTAAAGACCTTCCCTGGACCTCTGGCCCAAGACGCCACTTTGTACCTTGCAAAAGGCGGTATGCCTTTTGAAGCATGCTCTCGCCCTACAAAGCCAAAACTGGGTGGGAAAGAACGATGATGATCTCAACCTAGTTCAAGCCACTTTGGACGTGAAAAAATGCCATAGAGGCCACGGACGCCGATCGTAGCCTTAGCAACCCTATGAATATGATTACACCTCTGAACCATGTGAAACCTGACACGATGCTCCGGGATTCCTGCAGGCTAGCCCTAAGGGTCCAAGGACCCAAGTAATAGGGTCTTAGAGCCCAAATACTATAATATAAATGGTATTTGGGCCCTAAAACCCCATTATTTGGGTCCTTGGACCCTTAGGGTAGGGTTGCATTTGGAGTCCTTGTGCTCTGGCTCTTTAGAATGATACACCCCTGTACTAGGGGGCCCAAGAACAAGCTTGACCAAACGTAGCCTGAGGAGTTCCCTGAGATACCCTCCCCCCTAGGCATCCATATCTACAAACATGAACCTACTTTGGGCACTAAAGTCAATAAAGTCCATAACTAGTATCTACCTTGGGACGGTAAAATCACTAGTTAGGGCTCACTTTGCACCTTGCAATTCAGGGCTTAGGGTGCCCGCCTGGAACCTGCGGTGCAGCTTAAACCAGCTTCCTGCTGGGGCTCCAGTCACGTTCCGGGTGCGGTTCGCAAGCGCCACCTCAATCAGACGAAGGGCAGGAAGGACGGTGAGCAAAGGTCTAGGAGGAATCTGCCTATTGCGGCAAGGAAGTGCTATCTCAAAGTAACGGGGAGCAAACAATGCGTTTGCAGGTATGATGTGAAGACCACTCATTGTAAGCACAAGTGGGGTCTCAAACAAATCTTCAACTCTTGCTGAATCGTGTTGAGGAGTTGAAGAAATCTGGGCTAATGGCATGCAACACCAGTATGTCTCGCAAGCCATGGAAACTTTTGCTCCATACAAAGCCTTGGCCCAAAGTTTCAGGGATACTGGTAACCCACGCTTAGAAAAAGGCCCTTCCCTGAAAGTCAGTTTTGGATCCTTCTACATGCCCCTGGCAACATAATTTGACCGGAGTCACAACGGTCCAAAACAAGTCCCCCCTCACTGTGTGAAAATCCTACCTGGTCCTGATGAACAGCCCTATACTGGCCCTTTCATCTCTCTAGGTCGTTCTTTGTCTTGCTGTTATCATAACATCTATGGAAGTGCCCCCCCCAAAAACAAGGCCTAGCATCCACATAGATATCGCTCTCAAAAACGGGATCCCACTACTCAAGCCTAAGTCCTAAGCCCCAAAACCCCTAAAGCCTAAACCCCTAGACCCTATGAATCCCAGTAGCACCCCAGGGCAGCAATGTGCCCCAGCCCAGGGCCATGAGTATCAGGTGAAGCCACCTAGTCCGGCGAGTCCATGTATCCAGTCTTTAAATCCCTTTACAGGGATATGAAGGGGCATGTAAGAATGCATAGGATTTAGGGTCCATGCATCATATGTCTGAATCTCTGTAAAGGGATATGAAGGAGTATATAGGGATACGTAGGGGTTGGGGTCCATGTATACTGTACCCAACTATTTGAATTTGCAGGATTTGGGTGATAGCGCTTCTAGTACATGTTTGCGGGAAATGTATGATTACTGGGTACTTGCGTAACATCAAATCTGGGATAACTGAGGACTCTGGGCTTGCGATTCGTGTGGTGAGGTTCGTCGTTGGGACACTGGGTGAAGCATTCCGGTCACTCTACTTTGATTTCGTTGAGGAATTCCCCAGCAACAACTGCGACGTAGAGCGTTTGAGCTACTGTCATCCTCATCACGATGGGGAAGCGGGTAGGCCTAACCACTGGTACTACAGTGACAGCTACCAGTAATTACGACAGGATGCTTCAGTCGGTCATACTAGCACGGTTACCCGTCAGAAATCTAAGGCATACAGCTAAGAATATAGGAGTGCGGGAATTGTGATGTAGCTGGGCAGGTGCAAAAGGCTAGCCTTCCATGCGTATGCTCGAGCTGGCACTTCGAGCTTGAGATATAGCATGTAGCCTACTTGCACAGATACCATTCAATCCGCCCACAGTGCTGCGTTCGCAGACGTCTTCGCGACTGTCGCAGACCTCACGTCGCAGAACAAGGGAAATGACAGTTTGGCTCAGGGTGTTACGGCAGCAAGACCTCATAAGACCTCCATTGCAGTGACAGATGATCCATTAGGAAGGGCATTTGTGACTGTGCGAAGAAAAGGATACTATGGCTTTCTATTCTACGGTCTGCAATGTCAGAAGTACCCTCAGAGATCGCATGGATACATGCCTATGGAGCTTCAGGGGTTCCAGGTCAAGGATTTCACAATTATAGACTTTAGCTGGGGGGTTTCACTGAGACACCCCTATATCTATTTGCCAGTCTCAACCCAACCCAGTCGCTCAATCGCGGCGAAATCCACAGTCAGCCCGCCCTTGTTTCCGCCATGGTAGGCCAAGGTGGTTTCGCCATCCTGTCTTTCACACCCTAGAGAGGATTACATCAGGCTTGTATAGGGATTGTGTAGGTTATGTAGGGCTAGATAGGGTTTGGGACTTTTTTTCGAATAATGGAGGGTCAAATGAAAAATTGGACGGGGAAACTGCGCAGCTACATGCAGTTAGATGGGTAAGCATATTACGAAACACTTCTGTCATTTATCAC